AAAGTTATTGTTAACTGAACTAATTTAATATATTATTTTTATTTTAAATTAAATTTTAATTTTAATTTAATTTCAATACTTCCTTATCATTATATAATAATATCCAATGTGAAGTTATAGCACACTTATATTTTAACTCAATTTTATTATATGTTCTAATATTTGTAATTTTCTAAATAAATTATACCTTAATGAATATATTGTTAGCTTTTAAGTTAGTTTTTAAGATAGTGCAATAAAAAGCATGTACTTAGTGCACTTAATATTATAAAATAATATTATAAAAATAAAATAAGAGATATGGACCCATGGGGTTTTGAGAATTGGAATAGTAGACACATTTTCAAATGGATATATCTCAAGTTCTTTAAAAGATAGAAACTTGAAATTTACAGCGTTTCAAAGATAACTGATTGCGCTTTTATGAAATTGTTTAAACAATTAAAATTGTATATATTTAAGTACTAATACTAACAGTTAAATTTCAAAAAAAAATTTTCTTAAAACTATTAGCTAAATTTTCATTTTTTAATATTTTATTAAGATTCAGTTTTAAATTTTATTATTATTATTATTATTATTATTGAGTAAGGGATCGTGCACTGCGACCTAAAAGATCTATTGTGCCCCTTTGTCGGGTTAGAGTATTTCTCCAAGTCCGATTTCTTTAATGAAAGACAGTTCCCCAGTCTTGAATCCTTATGATCCATGAAATACCCTCCTAGGTGTTTCTTTCGCTTATGCATCAGTGCCGGGCACTCCCCAAGCACATGGTATGCCATTTCTCTCTCTTCCCTGCAGTATCTGCAGTCTGAGTTGGATTGAATTCCTAACTTCGATAGGTGATTATTCAATCTGCAGTGACCGGTCAGTAATCCCGTAATAATTCTTATGTTAGTCTTTGATTGCACTATGCAATCTTTAAAGCGTTTTAGGTTGTAAAAGCATTTTAGATTGTGAGAGTCTTGGTAGCATTAACCAATAGAGTTCTCTCTCTTTTTTCTCTGCGTCATTCATGATAATGGATAGAGCTCCTTTGCCTAGACCACAGAATGGTTCTGGGCCTATCATTCTTGATGCCGCGCCTCTTCTTGCAAGTTTGTCTGCCATTTCATTATCTTGGATACCAGTATGTCCCGGAATCCATAAAAGGTGCACCTGATTGATCCCACCGAGTGTGTTCAGCTTGTCAATGCATTCCCATACCAGTTTGGATGTTACCTGGTAAGATATGAGTGCCATTATAGCTGCCTGGCTGTCAGTCAGTATTGCAATTTTACGGTTCCGGTAGTTACGTTCAAGATTGAAACTGGCGCATGTATCTGTCGCGTATATTTCCGCTTGAAAGATGGTTGTATTGTTTCCTAATGCTTCCCAGTATTTTTTGCCTGGTCCATAAACACCAGCTCCAGCTCCCTCATTGGTGAGAGAGCCGTCTGTATACCATGTTATCATGGTTTCTTTTATTTTTGGGATGTTAGACAAACCTTCCCAGTTCTTTTTGTTGCCAAGTTCAGTTTTGAAGTTTTTTGTAAAGTTATGCTTTACAATCATCCTGTCCATTGGCATTTCAATTTCTGGGATTTGTGCAGCCAAAGTATCAAGTTTTTTGCTATTGGTTTCAAGACCAGTCACCTTATTTGTATTTCCTTTTAGAGCAGCCCTCTTCGCCTGTGATTGCACATAGATATGAAGAGGAGTAAGTTCCAGGAGTACTTCAATTGATGACGTGGGACATGTTCTCATTGCTCCTGTTATGCTTACACATGCAAGTCGTTGTACCTTGTTGAGTGTGTTGATAACGCTTTGTTGATTTGTGCAGTTCTGCCAGACTATTGATCCGTAGGTGATCATTGGTCTGATTACTGCTGTGTATATCCATCGCAGTGACTTTGGTGTACATCTCCAATTCTTACCTGCGATGGATCTACATGTCATAAAGGCTTTGGTTGCCTTTTTTGTCACTTCTTGGATATGAGATTTCCATGTTAATTTTTGGTCTAAAATTATACCCAAAAATTTTACCTCCTTTTGTAGTTTTATTTCAAACCCATCTAAGCGGATGGGTTTAAGGTTTTTTATTTTGTATTTCTTAGTGAATAGCTCAATGGTTGTTTTTGCTGGATTTATTTTCAGCCCAACCGAATTGCACCATTCTTTAGTTAGTTTTAAGCCTAACTGGATTCTTTCGCACAGAGTACTCTCAAATTTTCCTCTGCAGATAATTACCACATCATCGGCGTACCCCTGGATTTGGAAGCCATTCCTGTCCAGTTTTACCAATAGTTCATCCACTACCATACTCCACATAAGGGGTGATAATACTCCGCCTTGTGGGCACCCTCGCGAAGTATTTGCAAAAATATTACCATTGCTGGTCGGAATTTCTACTCTCCTGGTGCGAAGCATATTGCTCATCCAGCGTGAGAGTGTGCCATTGATTCCTCTTTTAGAAATAGTTGAGTTTATAACCTCATGTGAAGTGTTATCAAAGGCTCCTTCAATGTCTAAGAAAGCGCAAATTGCTATCTCTTTCTTATCTATGTGTTATGAGCTAAATAATTAGTCCATTTAACTTTACGAAATACGTGTAATATTTTTATTTGTGTACGATCTTAGTTGATCGTATATTTTCCTAAAAATAGGCAAGGTTGTTTGCATCTGGGCAGTTATTGACTAGAACCAAAGCATCAGACCGTCAGTTCGACGATAAGAAATGCTGATTTTTGGTATTTGGTTAGTAATTGGTGTCATGATGTAAGTGACTTTGAAAATATTGAATACGGAAGAATTGCAAAAATATGTGGAGCATTCTTGTAATAATAAAACTTTGCGAATTTAGCAAAATAAATTATACAACTATGGGAAAAACCCAATAAAGTAACTAGGTCATATATTGGATTTTTGCATCAAGTTTAGGTATATAAGACGAGTTCAAAATTGGAACTGGGGTCTTGGAAATGTGAAGTGGTTAAGCGCAGTAGCGCTTGACCAAGTATTAAAGAGTGTAAAAAAGTGAAAAGTGAAGCGTAGTAGCGCTGATATATATTGGAAATAAATAAAGTAATTGTGTCATTGTATAACTAAAGAAAAGTGTATTATTTTTACGGGTTTTCTGGGAGGACTATATCATCATCACCATCACCTCAACATTCTCAACTAGGTGTATATTATTTGGTTAAAGAGGAACCAACAACTTCTACTCGGAACCACAACATAAATTGGCGCAGCCGGTAGGATTGACATTACAGCATACACAACATATGCTGTCCTGAATCGTGTTACTTAATTGATGCAGGGCCGTTTCTGTCGACTGCCCTGCCCTATAGGCATGTTGGCGACTGTATAGTTGCTTTCAGTGTAGTATTCCTGATATAGTTATCCACAACTTTTTCTACTGCTTTAAGTAGGAAGGATGTGAGGCAGATTGGTCTGAAGGATTTCGGGTGAGTAGGATCTCTCTTGCCCGCCTTCGGAATAAAGACCACTTTTGCCCTTCTCCACATGTTTGGTATATATCCCAATGCAATACTGACTCTGGCTATTCTAGTTATTGGACCTAGTAGCTGTTCAATTCCTTTTTGAAGTAATGCCGGAAAGACACCATCAATACCTGGAGATTTCAGTGGCTTGCGCGAATTTACCGCCCACCTGATTTTAGGCATTGTGATTATATTTTTGGCGAATTTCCAATCATCCTTCTTTACTGTTTTAGGGGGTTCAGTGTGTTCTGATTCCGTCCCTAGAGTTGGAGAGGATCCTGGGAAGTATACGTCCAGAAGTAGTTGTATCTTCTCTTCTTCACCTTCGGTGAAACTTCCATCTTCTCGCTTGAGATTTGTGGAGGTGAGGCTGCTGCTATTTGCAAGTACCTTGTAGAGTCTTGATACCTCCGTAGTGCTTTCTATGCTTTCGCAGAATTTTTGAAAGCTTCTGCGTTTAGAGGCCCTAATTTCTCTATTGTACAAAGTAAGTTTTTTCCTATATTCTGACCAGTCTCCTGTTCGCTTTGAGTAGTTAAAAAGTCCTCTAACAGTGTTTCTTAGGTTTTTAAGGTCATTGTTCCACCAAGGCACATCCTTGGTGGAGTTAATCAGGCTTAATGAACAGCTATCCTCATATGCATTTAGTATGGCCCCATTAAGGTTTTCTAGGTAATTTTCTAATTGAATTTCATTCTGAATGATTTCATCTAGCCCTAATTGGACAAGATTGTCTTTCAGATTTTCCGTGTAGTTCTCCCAATTTGTTTTTCTTGGGTTCCTTAAAATTGTTAATTGTTAATTGGTGAACCTTAAAATTTGTTAATTGGTGAACCTTCAATATCGAACCTTAGAATTCTATGATCAGACATAGATGGTTCACTGGATACTCTCCAGTTTTTCACAAGCTCACAACCTCGAGTATTTCCTATAGTAATATCTAGGACCTCTTTGCGTGAGATAGTTACAAATGTTGGTGTATTACCTACATTACATATTTCTAATTTTTTACTAGTTATAAATTCTAAAAGGTACTCACCTCTTATATTGGTGTTAGTGCTTCCCCAAACTTCGTTGTGTGCGTTGGAGTCGCAACCGAGTATAAGAGGCAATTTCATTCTCTCGCAGTAGTTTACCAGTTTATCGACCTCTGCAGATGGTACCTGAGTGTCGTCTCCTGGTAGATAACCTGTAGCTACGACTACGTTCCGTAGAACTCCGTTGATGTTAGCCGGAATCTGTATGGCAACGAGGTCCCTGGAGAGAAATTCTGAAAGACAGATAAAGTTGATATTAATATTCAATAAAATGCAGGTTCTTGGTTTATCACATCTTACATCCCAAATTGTCTGCATATTCTTTGCAGTCAAACCACAGATTCGACCCCTGTAAATCCAGGGTTCTTGGACCAGCACTATGCTCAGGTTCGATTTGAGCGTAGCCCTTGCAATAACTGCCGACGCAGCTTTTGCATGGTGGATATTTATTTGGGCGATTCTAGTGCTGGTCATCAGGTGGTTATTCCTCCTTCGTTTCTTCTATCAGACCGTCGTCGGTGTCTGACAGAAAGATTCTTTCGGAGTCTTCCTCGGACGCCAAGTTCAGTAGAGAGAGATCTAGATTCTCAATGTCCTCACTCTCGTGAGGTAGCACGCTGATATCTTCAATCTTCTCGCTCCTGGTCGCCTCCTCCTCCACTAGTTCCGCAACAGTTGCAGGTATCGTTCCTACATCTGGTGTATTTTCCCCAGCTGAGTTACTTCTTTCCTTGTTGTCTCGTCCCTTATGCAGGTGAATTGGGACGGAACTGAACCTGTAGAAGATCCTACAGCCGTTGGTTGTTATGGCTTCCTGAGACCGGTTGTCAATCCCGATTGTTAGGAGTTTGCCATTTTTCAGATCCTTGCTGCTAAAAACTCTCCACAGCTGAGTATGTAGACCCTCATTTTGAGTTATGAGCAGTTTTAGCAGCTTTTCCCCTTTAGCTCTTGGGAGGTAGACTGTCAACATGTGTAATTTCGGTATTTTGTCCCCGACACACGTGGTGAGTTCAGCGCCTTCCCATCCGTTCAGCTTAGGTGCCGTTCCATGGATAAAATTAGCCGCATCCTCGTCTACGCAGTCAACCAGTATAAGTCCTGGGCGAAAGTGTATCCCGCTAAATCGTAGCTTGGCATCCCATCCTTTATACATCTCCTCAATGAGAAGTTCCTCGATTTTACCTTGCTCCTCCCTAGAGAGAGTTGATTCCGGGTAAGATTTCGGAAGAATTGCTATTCTTAAGCTCTTGGCTACATTAGCGTAACTGCTACCCGATATCATTTTTCTCGGTTGTGCCATTTGCGTACCATCCTTTGCTTGTGGAGGTTTCTCATTCCCTCTTCTTTTCTTAGCTGATTGATGATCGATCGGACTAATTTCTTGGGCAGACCTTTTCTTAGAGTCTTGATTGCCCCTCGGCCGATTGAGCGCCTTTTCCTTGGCTGCCTCCGGTGCTAAGCCTTCTTTGAGATAGCGCAGGTACCATTTTGTACCCGCACCGCTCAAACCAGTAGTTGTGGAGGGCTGTGGTAGTGTTTCGATCGTTACATCTTTTGGTGCAACCTTTGAACCCAGAGTTCCTTGACTTCCTTTTCGTAACGAAGATTCCGTTTTTGATTCAGTTGGCAGAGAGCTAGTATTGTTCCTAGCTTCTTTGCCCTCAGTACTTTTTTCCGCTTTCCGTTTTGGAAAGGGTGCCTGGCGATCGGTATGTTGGATATCAGACTCTGACCGATTTACCAGTTTATTTGCAGTGTGTGTTCCTGCTGGTTTTTTTATATTGTTTTTATTATTATTATCTAAATTATGTTCCATTAAATTCCCACGAGTGTGGGGGAAAGGAGGTCCGCCGTGTCATAGACCCCGATAACACGGTAAGCCCACAGTTACTCAATGAGGCGGGCAGGTATCATTGAGGTGCGACGCTAGAATACAGTCTGTTACCCCCGACTGCAAACAAGTCCGATGAACACGTGCAAATTCCGGATTGGGGGGGAAGATGGAGGTGGAGAGGGATATGGGTATTGAAATGTCGATAGTAGGGAATATTTAGGAATGGGAAGGTGCGGAATGGGAAGTTTTAAATTTTACTACGATATGAAAATTTTCAAGAACCCATTATTTTTTAAAATTTTTTAATATTTTTTTTTCTCATGAAAAACACATCAAAAACATGCATACTACATTTCCATTGAATGAATTTTCAAAGAATATACTACATATATTCTTATATAATATTTTTGATTTCGATTAGTAATAAAATTCTACATAAAACCTAACAATTTCTTTTAAAAATTTATTTATCCTTCATATCACGCCAAACACATACATATGATTTTTCAGTAAAAAAACAACAAGGAATATGTCACACAAATTTTTTTTTTTATTTTTGATTCAAATTAATATATAAATTCTACTTCAAAAATAAATATTTCCACTATGATATTAATTTTAGAAGTAATTAAAAAAAATTAATTAATCAGGTGTCCTTCACATTACTCATACGCACCATAGTACCATAAAATCAATTTTCGAAGGAAAACGATACAAAAATGTTTACTTTTTATTTCTTAAATAAATGTATACAAAAAATATTGACACTTTAAATTAGTTCCGCATCATTTCTGTTTTTAAATTATGAATTTTAACATAATTGAACCCTTTAATAAACTTTTTTCTTATATAGATGAATTAAAAAGTTAATTAGTTTCATACTAGTCGAACTACCTAGAAAACTGCAGCACATAATCACACCTACCTTTTTCAGTGAAGTGTTATTTTGCTACAGTTGGAAAAATACTCTGCGCGGGTGAGAAATGTTATAGGAAATAAACTATATGGAGTTAAAAGCAATATATTTTTTTATGGTTTTTATAGCGATTTTATTAATACTCATTTTATTATTGATACAGAATCTGTAATGTCTGAAGAAGAAAATATTTTTGCCATTAATACTTTTTTGGAATTTGGACTAAAGCAGTGATATTTTAATGTGTATTTAACTGATGTTGCTGCTTCAAAGCGGTGTTTAATCTTATTTTCTTCTACTTTATAGTCTTTTAACATTGAGACATGGCACTTAATATTTGGTAAACTTTCCTTAGCCCAGTTAAATAATTCCTTTGGTGTTTGGATTGGATTATTTATTCATTGAAGGCTAGCTCTTGCAGCATTCCTCTTTAAGGTATCAGCTAAGCCGTCGCATGATCCTTTGCCGTGTGACGTTGGAAAAAAGTGCCATTCTGCTTCCAAACCAAAGTCCGCTTTGTGATGAGTTAAATTAATAACATTTTTTTTATTTTTATGTTGTGATCCCGATTCATCGGAAAAATAAATATTTTTTCTAATATCCGTACTAATTTTTTAATGAATTCGATAGCGTATTTTCGGAACAAACGTACAGCAGTTGTGTTGTGATATAAACAGTCAGATATGCAGACAAAATTTTTTATTTGTAGTTTTTTATTTTCAAGACGGTGGTATATTGCAAAAATCTGAATTGTTGCCAGGTAATTATTCCAGAATATCTTGAACAGAATTTTGAACAACACAAGCATAATTTTCGGAAAAACCACACAAAACTATACATTCATTTTTTGCTAAGTTGTTTTTCTTATCAATTTCTTAGCAATTTGTCTAAACCATCTGTTAATGATTGCAAATATTCGTCTATTGGTGATGTCAAAGTTTTTAATGTGCTTCTCTCTTCGCGAACCCATTGTTTGTATGTAAAGGTGTCAATCATGTTGTCATCAAATATCTCCAGAAGTTGTTTATTGATATTTTCAGTTCCAACAAATTTGGCGCAGGTTCCTAGAAAACATTCTATGCATGAAGTATTACAAATCATGCGCTGTAGGCAATCTTTATAGTTATTTATCGGCTTTCTATTGCATGCAGTCAGTGCTTTTATATTCACTCCATCTATTATTAATTTCACGTTCTCGTGTATGGAGCACTCACAAACTGAATATGTGCTACTTGCTCCTGCAAGAACGCAATGTTGTGGTCGTAGAGATGCAAATTTTGAAAAACTACATTACAGGTCTGGATGGTTGAGTTTGAAAATAGTATGCAACTCCTTCAAATTGTTTAGAATGGACCGTTTTTGCATTTGTTTTCTTTTTCCGTCAATTTGTACGGATACGCAGTCTTTTTTCCATTACTTGACTGTTTTCTTCACATTCGTAAAAATTTAAAATTCTATTGGTTTCATGTTTTCCTAGCGATGGCTTTTTGAATTTGGGTCTTCTAAAATTCATATCTCTGAAGCAAGTTTTTAAGCAAATGTAGTCGCACATTTTTACGCTACATCCCTTTCTATCCTTTTCGGATAGACCAATTATGTATTACACCCAATATTTTTATTTTCATATTTTGTTATGTAGGCCTGTGTGGAAGTAAATGTTAATATAATAAAAATAATGAATATTATTGACATTACCTCGTGCCATTCGTGTTTTCTGCGTATCTGGATAATCCTTCTATTTTAGAAGACATTCAACCTTTCGCTTGCATGCATGCCAGTCACAATTTTTTGTTTACAACATACTTCTCATCAGACGAATCCGTGATACTACGTGCTTTACCAGCTTTAGTTTTGTTCTATTTAGAGTTCACAGTTTGTTATTATTGGAATCAAAACAATTAGCAACTAGTTTTTATAATACGAAGATCACCCAATAGTTGTAATGTCTTGATGTCAAAAACGCATTAAAAACTCATTCACTAAGTAAATTCATTAAAGTGTTCAAATAGTTGCACACACCCACTGTTTTCCGTAGGAAATTTTTCACAAATTTGCGATTGAGAAAATTTGTAAACAATTGTTTCGCTTCTAAGTATTATGTATGTTATAGAAAAATAAAAATATATTAATTTTATTTATTTAAACAATTCAACGGGCATTAGACGCACTCTATCAATGATAATAAAAACAACAAAAAAAAAAAGAAAATAAGACAAAAATATTAAATAAAGAATGTGAAAGGTAAAGCTTTTGTTCTTTTTTTTTTGTTGTTGATCTGTGCAAGTTAAGGCGAACTCCATTAAAAGCTGTACTGAAATTTGATTTAGTGAGAAGAGATAGTATTGCCAAGTAGGAATAATCAGCGTAAGTACAAAAAGGCAAGTCATAGTGGTGAAAAGTTTTGAAGAACCTTCTACGGTAAAAGAAAAATTAATAGGATCACTACCGTTAAATGAGGATTTTTCAGTTAGGGGAACTGGCTATAAAAGAGCTAGTAGAGGTTTGATTCGCTCTCTTTTTTTGCTGGTGACTAAACATTGTGGTGCGTGTCGCATTGTGATGCGAAGTTGTAAATTTAACCGTGATAGTAAAGATTCACATTTGGCTCCGTTTAAAAACGGCTCATAAGAATTAAACAAGTGACTAATTTGAATGATGGTGTCTGAAAATTGAAGATAATTAAAATTATTATATTTATAAATGTTATATAGGTAATGTATTTAGTATCAAATATGTCTTCTCAACTAGATTGTTGAAGTTAAAGTCCTTATTTCTTATTTTCCATTATACAATATAGTACCTCAGTTTATTTAAAACGTGCTAGTTTACCGTTTCTATAAATTTGGAGTAAACATGTAGCAACAATTTAAAGGGCGATGAGTTGATCATGCCATTAAACAGTTTCTCCAAATTTATAGAAGCAGTTTACAATAACCAAAGAAAGGCAGGGGCGGATTAATACGATTATGTTACTTATATATATATATATATATATATATATATATATATATATATAGAAACAATTAGAGAAAAAAAATTAAAAAGAAAATTAAAAATATCAATCAATTGAAATTATTTTATGTGAAAAAGTGAACATATTTGTTCTTAAATATATTTATAATATATGTTACATGCTGCAAATCAATATTTGTGTGAAATACAGAGTGTACGCTACTTGGTGCTAACCCTGATCCTTAATCTGTGTTAGCTTGGTAGCCAATTTTTGTGTGTAAAGTAGTTTGAGCACTTGTAACCCAAACTACTTGTATTTTTTATGTTGTAACGACACGGATTCGTCGTTTTAATTTTGCTGAGGTATTACTCAGTCGCGGTCCGGGTCGTTGCAATAAATTTGTTTTATTGACTAGTTCGAAGCTGGTAAACCAATGAGTGGAAAGTAAAAGACCGTTTGTTTTTATTATTTTAAAATTTTATTTATTAAAAAAAAAAAAAAGATTATTTTAAATAACTTATTCTAGTCTTGATTCTACTCAGTTAGTTTTATCCAAAGACGTCAGAACATCAAAGGTTTGTTTTTCCAAATCTACGTAATTAGTTTCTAGCCAAAGACGTCAAAACATCAAAGGCGTTTATAAAGTCTATTAAATAATTTTTACCCAAAGACGTCAGAACATCAAAGGGTTTTTTTTTCCAAATCTACGTAATTAGTTTCTAGCCAAAGACGTCAAAACATCAAAGGCGTTATACGATCTACTCACAAGTTTCTACGAATTTATTTAGCCTTAGCGTCGAAACACTATAGGCTTCTAAAAGTGGACTTAGCGCTGGAGTAGCGATCTACTCACTTCGGTGTGCCGGTGCTAAGTGATCTTTCATATAAAATCTCCGCTATTTATATACGACACTTTGCTTTGCTTAATTGCACGCACAACCGCACAAGTATAATTCGCTGTCAGCTTTGTTATGCTTGTCGTGTGTGCGTATGTTCGCGGTTGGCTTTGTTTTGCTTGTCGTGTGTGCGTGTGTTCGCGGTTGGCTTTGTTTTGCTTGTCGTGTGTGCGTGTGTTCGCGGTTGGCTTTGTTTTGCGTGTCGTTTGTGCGTATG